CTCTTGTAAACCCAAGGATGGTGATACATGCCTTCGATGGCCTCACAAATCAGCAGACCTAAACCTCATTAATCCTTTAGGGTAAAATCTAAAGTGCAGAGTATGTGTTTTCACTGATGTTTTAATATCACTGCATATAGTTTAGGTCTTATATCCCAAGAAGCCCGAGCCGGATTAACCATATGTATACTGAAAATGCTTTCAAAAAGTGGGAGATGCAGCACAATGGTTTGGGAAAGACTGAACTAAAATAGTTCTGAAGATAAAATGTACACCGTCTACTTAATAATCCCTTGATATTAATGTGTTGTTTTCCATCTATTTTGTCCACTTTATTCATTGCCTACATACTTATGTGACTGATATGCATAAACTGTCAAGAGCAACAGCTATTAAGCCAATATGTGATCTTATTAATGTTTCATGTTGATTTTTTCATGCTCAGGGACTCCTGCTTTGATGAGACACCAACATATGTATTCGTCTGGCATATAAAAAGAGCGAGATAAAATGAAAAAGGAAAATGTGTCACAGTGTCTTCAAAAAGACTTTCTAGAGAAAATAAACTTTTCACCTGGAGCTGGATTCACAAAACTATCTTAAGGAAAAAGAATCTTCTAAACGGCATCTTCTTTATATTGTCTAACAAAAAAAGAGTTAGAATATTTTGTATTGCTCTTAAGGACAACCTCCAATTTAGCCTTTATCCTATTTGTCCAGTCTCCAAAGGTAAGATGTTATATGAATTTATTGGGTTGCTTCCAAAAAATTATTGCAATTAAGTATTACAACATAAAAACAGCTACATATAATGATTTGTCATGATTATGCATGACGTGACTTGCTGAATTCAAAATTCAGTAAGAACTCCACTTTTTATTTTTTAAGTTAAATTATTATCTAGTGAGTTAAAGCCGTTTTGTTCTCTGATATTAGAAAAAAAAATCTGTAGTTGGTAAAGGTTTGCTTAAATTAAAGGGTTTAGTGGTTTAGTTAAGTGGTGTACTCAAGCAGGTCAGAATATTGTTAATTGTTAAGTTAGTTGGACTTCCCATAGCACTTTGATGTAAAAAAAACAAACAAACAAAAAAATCAGTAGTCTATTGATGTTAACAGTTGATGATGAAAAATAATAAAATATATGGGCTACTTTTGGACAGGTTAGCCACAAGATAAAGTATATAATTAACCCTCATCCATCCCTCCCGAACCTATAACAAAAGTGTCCCTCGCGGGTCAAAATGACCCGAAGGCCAACAATTACACTAATTTTATTTTTGGTCCAGAAAGCTTATATTGGAACATTTTTATTTTATTTTTTTTTTCTAATTTTTTATGTAGGTTTTTCTATTCTTTTTTGGTGATTTTTATCATATTTACCTTCCAATTAAGCCACTTCTGATATAGGAAAGTTTTCTTCCACATAAACTCTATTCCATGTTGTAATGTAATGGACACACTGCATTACAAATCAAACAGAGGCCTTTTCTAATGGCAAGGATTTTTCAGCTTTTGTTTCTCACAGTCCACCTATGCTCACACTCATAACCCTCCCGGCACTATGGTGATGTAGAACGGTGTGGCAGCTGCCACCCCCAGCCCCCCTTAGCTGATTGCGAACAACTCATGCGTTCACAGCTTCACAGCATCCCAGTCATAGCCTATGGGCCTCTCGCCATCTGGGGCTGCGCAAGAGCCACGCCACGGCAGCCATGATTTAACACGCAGGATAAACAGATATTTCATAATTCACACGCTGTGATGGGTGAATGGAGATAGATTTCAGCCGGGTGACGGGGCCTTTGGGACAGGGGAAATTGGACAGTCAGGCATGCATACTTTTATTTTTTCATTTTCATTTTCATTTTTTTTTTAAGTTTCTGTATTGTTTGCATAAAGGATGTGGTTATTCTTTGTGTGGTTTCTATATAACACCTACTGTAGCAGGTTCACAGAAATGATACACTTTGGACTTCAAATCTGATAAGTGATCTGCATATATATTTTATGGTCATCAGCCATTTCACAGCATAATCTGTCATGCAAACACATTGCACTCATGATGTATCCATATTCCAGGATGATAAAGTTAAACTGCATGCTGTTAAGTGAAATTCAAGACTCTTGTAAACCCAAGGATGGTGATACATGCCTTCGATGGCCTCACAAATCAGCAGACCTAAACCTCATTAATCCTTTAGGGTAAAATCTAAAGTGCAGAGTATGTGTTTTCACTGATGTTTTAATATCACTGCATATAGTTTAGGTCTTATATCCCAAGAAGCCCGAGCCGGATTAACCATATGTATACTGAAAATGCTTTCAAAAAGTGGGAGATGCAGCACAATGGTTTGGGAAAGACTGAACTAAAATAGTTCTGAAGATAAAATGTACACCGTCTACTTAATAATCCCTTGATATTAATGTGTTGTTTTCCATCTATTTTGTCCACTTTATTCATTGCCTACATACTTATGTGACTGATATGCATAAACTGTCAAGAGCAACAGCTATTAAGCCAATATGTGATCTTATTAATGTTTCATGTTGATTTTTTCATGCTCAGGGACTCCTGCTTTGATGAGACACCAACATATGTATTCGTCTGGCATATAAAAAGAGCGAGATAAAATGAAAAAGGAAAATGTGTCACAGTGTCTTCAAAAAGACTTTCTAGAGAAAATAAACTTTTCACCTGGAGCTGGATTCACAAAACTATCTTAAGGAAAAAGAATCTTCTAAACGGCATCTTCTTTATATTGTCTAACAAAAAAAGAGTTAGAATATTTTGTATTGCTCTTAAGGACAACCTCCAATTTAGCCTTTATCCTATTTGTCCAGTCTCCAAAGGTAAGATGTTATATGAATTTATTGGGTTGCTTCCAAAAAATTATTGCAATTAAGTATTACAACATAAAAACAGCTACATATAATGATTTGTCATGATTATGCATGACGTGACTTGCTGAATTCAAAATTCAGTAAGAACTCCACTTTTTATTTTTTAAGTTAAATTATTATCTAGTGAGTTAAAGCCGTTTTGTTCTCTGATATTAGAAAAAAAAATCTGTAGTTGGTAAAGGTTTGCTTAAATTAAAGGGTTTAGTGGTTTAGTTAAGTGGTGTACTCAAGCAGGTCAGAATATTGTTAATTGTTAAGTTAGTTGGACTTCCCATAGCACTTTGATGTAAAAAAAACAAACAAACAAAAAAATCAGTAGTCTATTGATGTTAACAGTTGATGATGAAAAATAATAAAATATATGGGCTACTTTTGGACAGGTTAGCCACAAGATAAAGTATATAATTAACCCTCATCCATCCCTCCCGAACCTATAACAAAAGTGTCCCTCGCGGGTCAAAATGACCCGAAGGCCAACAATTACACTAATTTTATTTTTGGTGCCAGATTACTCAAATCTAACTGTGTTAAGTAAAAAAAAATTGAAAAATGACAGTCATATCCCAGCAGAAACATGAAAAACATTACAATGTGTTCTATTTATTTTTTTTTTCTAATTTTTTATGTAGGTTTTTCTATTCTTTTTTGGTGATTTTTATCATATTTACCTTTTATTCTGGATATTTTTGTTTGGGTATAAATCTTTACTGGATTATTTCAGATTTTGTATATATATAAAAAAAAATCAAATGTAATGAAAAATGCAGTTTTCTCGTAAATTCCATTCATTCCTATGCGGGTCAAAATGTTAAGAAAACATAAGCAAATAAGCCGTTTTTGTACATTATTTCACAAAAAAGAAAAGAAAAAAGAAAGACAATTTCAGTCCTGTTTCATCAAAAACCAACAGATGGCCTTGGAATTGAGTCACTGAGTGTCGCTGATGCCATCTGGTGGAGAAAAATTACATAAAAGTGCATTTTATGGTTACAGCCACTACAGGGGCCTATAGAACCCTATGGAGATTTTTAACTGAGCAAAACAAGTGAAACATGAGAAATTAGATAATCTTAAAGCTTCAGTTTGGTTGTTTATGGATTAAAATATATATTGAAACATTACAAAATAATAAAAAACATTTAAAAAAAAACAATTCTAACTGAATTATAACCTAAACATATGCATAATCATAAAACTTCATAAATATGAAATAAATATATAATATATATTTAAAAATATAAATATGATATAAACTCATTGGTCTCCGCCAGATTACTCAAATCTAACTGTGTTAAGTAATTTTTGAAAAAACTTTTTGGGTCAAAATTACCCCGAGGGACGGACTTTTTTGAACCTATCTTTTAACCATCTGCAATGGAAAGATTCTATGGATGAAGCCATAGATGCAAATAACAAACTTTTATTTTTAAGAGTGCAGGTCTCCTAGCAGAATAACCTCAAGTGTAGTTCAGCACATTAGATCCATTGTTTTATAATTATAACAAACTCATTTATGATTTGATATTTTATTGCAGAATGCACATATATAATGCATCACTATGTTTATATTTAGAGGTATCGCCTGTAAACAAGAAATGCAAATTATGTAATCAACCAGCTTTGTCTGTGTGGAGACTGTGGATTTTACCCTCAAAGGCCATTTGTTTGACCCAGGACAGTCCTTGGATATGCAAGAATGGCTGTAAATAATGTACATCTGTACCTATAGATGCTATAATGGAAGAATTTGAAACAGACTGGTAGTAAGAGTGAATATTGTTCATTCAGGGATTTTATGAAGTCATTTTAAAACAATTTTGCCTGTTCTTCACAGGAGTACAACCTGAATCCTCATATCAATTCAAGGCTTTTCACACTTTTTAATTTGATCTTGATGGCGAACCATAGAACAATGACCTTCATCACACTCCATAAACAGTCTTATTAATCAAACTGAAATCAGTGGATGCAGTAGTAAAGGATGGATGCAGCTGCAAATCACCACTGAAAACACTGGGAAGTGGAATATGCATGGTGCGATGCAAACCAGCATCATGAAAGGAAGACCGCATGAAAGAGAAGCAGATGCAGACACTCACCACGTCTATGATCTGAAGCAGTGTGAGTCCCAGCTCCACCACTATAGGTGCAGAATCATTGAGCACGGGCCTTTCCAGTCTGTTATAGCTCTCCATCAACTCCTTATACAACTTCCGCTGATATTCCCCCTGTAACGAGTCTATTGAATGAAAGAAAGAAAGAGATTAAAATGTCATCATTATTTACTGACTCTCATGTAGTTCCAAATCCGTATGACTTTCTTTTATGGAGCACAAAAGACATTTTGAGGAATGTACTGATCACTCTTCCCATGCAGTTATAATTACAACTTAAAAAATGAAGAACCATTAAAGTATAATAAAATGATTTGTGCGTTCATGAGAGTTCATGAGTAGCGATGTTGTATTTATGAATGAATTCCTTTTAGTTGGATCTTTTCAAAGAGTCATTTGAACAGTTGTTCATGACAAGTGTTTAATTGCTCAACGGAAGGCAAAAATATCAGTGAATAACAACATAAACTTTGGACTGTTCTTCACACAAAGCTATCATGTGGCTCCTAAAAACATCTATAGCACATATACAAAGTCCTGTGGACCACATTCATGATTCTTTTATGGTCCTTTTCCGAGGCTTGACGATAATTGCATGGACATTATAATTCTCCCTTTGTGTGTCATAATGGTTTGGAACGAGTATAAATAATGACAGAATATTGCTAACTATCCCAACAAGACAGAATTCACGGACAGATGGTTCTGGGTTAAATTATTAATCAATCGTTAGATGGATTTGATTTCCACATGCTCTGATAGGCGACTCAGTAACTGAGACTAATACCATGAGAGACTTTGCTGTTGTCCTGTAGATAAAAACACATAGAGGAGACATTCTGAGAGAAAAAAGAATGCGTAAACCTGTAGCGTATGAGCAGTATAAAATATTCATAACTGACACACTCCTTCCAAAGATGGACTAAAGCGCCCTGATGGGATTTGCTCAAATGTAAAAACACGATGAGATGGAGAGATGAAACGGAAAATTTCAACAAACTAATGAATGACATAATATTAGCAGTCCAGGATAATTCAGTGTGGATAATTGAATTTTCTTGGAACATCTGTGATGATGTCTATGTTTAGATTCAGTATGGTTATACTGTTATATAAGCAGAATTTCCGTCATAAATCAAAGGAACCCATTCACATTCTAAGCGAGAGGCATCATTCACACACTCCTGACTCATAATGCACATGAGGAAATTAAGAGCAGCGTATGTTCTGTGTATCTGCGCGTGAGCTTGAAGCTATGATGGAGAGAAAGAGAGACAGAGCAAACCATATGCAGCTCACATAAAATCTGTTCAACATGAATCAAGTTTTGAATGAATGCACTGATGCAAACTATCAGCATTCTGATGTAAGATATGCATCATGTGAGCTTGAAGCTATGATGGAGAGAGAGAGAGACAGAGCAAACCATATGCAGCTCACATAAAATCTGTTCAACATGAGTTTTGAATGAATGCACTGATGCAAACTATCAGCATTCTGATGTAAGATATGCATCATATCAATGTCAAACCTGCCAACCAACAAATATGCGCTGATTTTAATCTCTGGGTACACATAAATCATCACTGGTGTTTTTGAAACAACAGTTCAATAGAAAAATGTAAACTTTGATGTTCAAATATTTGTTTAAGAATCAATCTGTCAAATGATTTAAGAAGATGCAATGTTTAGAGCTGGCTCTTGCCAATTAGAAGCCCTTAGTTGTTAGTTTTTATTGTAGCATATTTTTTGTTGTTGTTGCAGCAAGTTTTTTTTTTTTTACTTTCCTCTATAAATGCTTGTTACATTTGGCCTTAATTAAATGTATTATTTTTGTTAATTCAAAGTAATGTCAATTTGTCAGTTCATGTTTACTTTCACTAAAAAAAACACACACATTGAATTAAACAAAGTTAAAAAATGAAACAAATGAAATAAATAGTACAGTATTTTCTTGTAAAACATACACCAATTGTCTTTGCTAAATTTACAACTTCGAAAAAAAATTTTTTTTTACTGTGTTTTAAAGGACTGAGTTTATTGCTGGCTACATCATCCCAATGATCTTGGACTTTATACTGAAAATGAACTAATAGAATGACTTCAAATAAAATTTTAAAATATGCTAGAATAATAGAATAATATAAAATTATTAAATTAATCTATGAACTAAAAAACCTCACAGGACTTGCTGGAACAAAGGTCAGAATGTCAGTAATGACTTCTAATCTTCAAGGAACGTGCTTTTTAATAAACCAAGTAAAGTTGCAATTATCAATGGAAACATTTTAGCAGCGCTAACTGGCTTTTTGCACTTCTGTGGTCCATACAGACAGATAAAGCAGCCAAACCTTAAATGGGCAGATAACACAAGAAGCTGCACTAAGAGCTGATGTGTGCTTCAATAAGAGCACACATTGCCCTTCCTTTTAATTACCACTGAACCATATACCATTAAACATTATTTCTTGATTCAGCATGGTGTTCTTTTCTCCTAGCATTTCTAATGGCTGATACTTGCAGAAACAATTTCGCAGAAGTCATAACCACACCTCTGCCGCGCACTGGCGTTTTATTGAAATCCTTTCCATTAAAGGAAATGTCAGGCATGCATGTCAATGCATGGGCGTTTGTTAAAGAAAGAGACTTCAATCTCCTGCTCCTGCAGGAACAGTGATAGCTGCTGGATACAGGATAAGCAGAGCAGCAGGATACAGGCTGGGCTTGTAAACACCCAGGGTAAAAATCCTATTGGAAAGTTGCTTTGAAAGTTTACTTTCTAAAAGACAAAAGACAATTTTTGGCAATAGTGTCACTCACACATAAACACACCAAACACAGCGTGGAGCACCGACAATAGAGGGGCAACAGAGGATTTAACACTATGACACTACAGGATTACAGCCCATGACGAGAATGACTGACACTCTTAACGAGGTCCCTACTGCGAGGAAATGACAGATTCCATCAAAGGCAACACATTAATTTCTCTTTTGTTCTCTTACATAATCAGAGCAATCTGGGACATTTTTTGCAGTTCTTTCTGCAATATACTATGATGTCACCCGACTCTTTAGACTGACAAATAGAAAATAGAATATTTATTTACCATTTAAAAGACAAAAACATACATATCATGCTCGAATTTGATATTTTACCACTTTTAGTGTGCATTGTAATTTTATGAAATATATAAAAAATTAAGAAAAACTTTGCGTGTTTCTCCTTGTGGAAAAGAAGTACACTAACTTATTACGAAAAGAATATTTAGAATTTAAAGAATTAAAAGAATATGCTTAAAATGCAAATTGAATATAATGTTTTTGGACACTTAATTACATGTTAATTGCAATCAAATGAAAATTAAACATTAAATGAAAATTAAAAATTATAATTTAAATTTATTAAAAGCAATTAAGTGAACGGTAGAGTGCTTTCTGACCCACTTAAGTACATCTTTATATGTAATTTCATAACTACTTGTATTGTCTTTGAAATATTGTTAAGTGTACTGCTGAATATACTGACAAGCATTATGGTAAACTATTTTTTTTTCTATTGAAACTGTATTTAAATATATTTGTATTACGATATTTTAAATGTAATACTGACTGACATAAAGCACTGCACACGTGCTTTAGTATATTAGTCAGGACATCAAAATAAGTGGGTACTTCTAGCATGACAACAAATTATTAAAACTATTATTTAAAATGTACTTTAAAATAAAACTTTTAATTTCAGTGTGTTAAGGAACATAGTAACCTTACGAAGTTTAAGTACACTTCATGGCCTTTTATTTCAGTAATATTACATGTACACAGCAAAAAATAAATTCTTACCTAGTATTTTTGTCTTGTATCTAGATTTAAGAATATTTAGATATTTGTAATGGAAAACACTTACTTGAGAAGCAAAATAACTTAAGACAGTAAGTCTGGTTTTCTGAAAAAAGTATAAATTTAGTTCACACACTTAAGTACCTTACGAAGTTTAAGTACACTTCATGGCCTTTTATTTCAGTAATATTACATGTACACAGCAAAAAATAAATTCTTACCTAGTATTTTTGTCTTGTATCTAGATTTAAGAATATTTAGATATTTGTAATGGAAAACACTTACTTGAGAAGCAAAATAACTTAAGACATTAAGTCTGGTTTTCTGAAAAAAGTATAAATTTAGTTCAAAATTTGAAAAAAAAAGTGCCAATGGGGCAAGAAAAATAATCTTGTTTTGCCCTTGAATTACGATTATTTTTCTTACCCTACTGGCAGATATTTTCTTGTTTTAAACTAAACCTGAAATTTTTTTTTTTCTTCAGAAAACAAGACATAATTGTAACGTGCTGTTAAGGATAAGCACACGGCTGTGTAAAGACACGAAACGATCTGTCTACCGCCACCTATCTCTCAAATGGACCATTGACACTCTATCTACAATCTCAATTAGGAGTGTCAATGGTCCATTTGAGAGATAGGTGGCAGTAATGCACTTATAAGTCTGCGATCCACCGTAAAGCAAGAAGAAGACGAAGACGCGTCACGTGCCGGCTGTCGAGGACGCGCTCAGGACAGTTCGGACATTGCAGTGCATCAGAGGTAAAAAACGATATAAATACTGTTCAGTTTCTTGCACAGACCGATCGTTTCGTGTCTTTACACATCAATATATGGTCACGAGACGCAGGGTTTAATTTGGTTTTGTTTGTGTATGTTTTTTTGACTCTCAAAGCCGTGATTCCCATTCACTTCCATTATATAACTGACAGACTGCAACGGTTTGAGTTAAAAATCTTCGTTTGTGTTCTACTGAAGAAACAAAGTCACCTACATCTTGGATGGCCTGGGGGTAAGCAGATAAACATCAAATCATTTCATTTTTTTGGGTGAACTATCCCTTAAAGGTTTATAAATTTATATGTGAAAACAAGACAAAAATACCAAGTTAAAAATCTTTTTTTGCAGTATAAGATCTGAGATGAACAATCTGCACAGATGGATCACTGGTAATCACCACTAGTTTTATGCCAGTCAAAAATGCTGTTCGCCTTGATGTAACTTTGTGTAATATACGTTTTGTGAACACAACACTCTGAAATTGATCTCTGTAGAGAATGAATTTAAATCATATTCCTGAAAATAGGTTTTTTATTAACACTACAATGGAGAACCAAAGGCAGATTCTGGTGAAACCTAATAAATAAATTGGACTACTTGTTCTACTATATGCACTTAATTGGTCAGAAAGAATATGAAAGAAATGCTGATGTAGATTGCTGATCCACATGAGAAGTGAGATTTGTCTGATTTGCCTGCTCTTTTTTCCACTCCTCCCCAGACTGCAGCCGTCTACTCTCATTTACACTGAAGGCGAGGCATCTGGCATCTCAAATGAGTCTAGTGTTAACATAGACTTGCTTGTGAAATGTACACATCAGAGCTTAGGCGTTCCAGAATACCCTAATTCATCCCAATGGAATAAGTGTTTGGGCTTCAGGCCCATCTCAGCCTGAGGGCTGATGCAGTAGCTGGTGAATGTGATTCAAATGCACATTTCAGGTATAGAAAAGACTGTCTAATGATGGAGACCAAGAAAGACATACTGTGACCAACTCTATCCTTGTCACCTCTACGGCACATAAAAGCCTTTAAGTCATGTTCATTAAATTTCATTACTTATTTAAAGCCTTTTTCCCATTGGTCATTACTATGTATGTGCCGTCATTGATTAACCCTCTATTGCCCTGGGGTAACTAACCCATTTTCTCAGCTTCACAATCACATGATGTTTAAAAAAAAAATAAGGCTATAAAATTGTCACACTTCATCCTGGTGGACATTAAAAAAAACTTTTCTGGCAATGCAAACTCTATAAAAATGCCACATTTTAATTTTTTTTTTCACCCATCCAATCTATCTGTCAATCCGTCCGTCTGTCTGTCTATCTATCATCTATCTATCTATCAATTTCCATTAAAAATCCAATAAATAAGCCAGTCTATTAGTTTCTGTCATGTAGTTTTGAGTATTCTGACATCAACACAAATTTAATTTTAACATTGCTGCCATAATCTGTGTGGTGGAAGGTCAATAAATCTGCAAGAAAATAATTAGAAACATTTAAACCATACACAGAAATAAACACAAATCACTAAGGAAGTGAGTAAATAAAAAACAACAGCTGAGGTGTAAAGTCAAAGCTGAGTAAACAGAAGCTGTGAAACACAACGTAGGACAGAGTGATATTACATATTTAAACAGACTGGAACAAGCATATGTCCCTTCAGCCTGCCTGGGAAACAAGCCCTCGCTCAACTGTTCCTCACATTTGAGTGCTAGCATACGGCGCTAAACCACAAACAACAATTCAGGAGACTCCAGAGGGCGACGGGTGAGTATGAGATCAGCAAGCTCACAGAGAGGCTGAACCTGACAGTGATGGTGCGCTGGGTGATTTACTGAACTTCATGCAAATGCTGAAACATAATAGCAAAAAGAGCTCAATGGAAGCTTTGTAACAGCGAGGCTGCTAAAAAGAGAAAGCTGGACATAATGTGAAAAGAGAAAAAGAGAACTGAGGATAGAGAGGGAGAATGTGTTTTGTGAATTGCAGTGTCTCAACTGGTTTTGCTTTAAGATTTTACATTGGAAGTGGTGACTGAATTGTTTATTGTACAAAACTAAACAAAAATGTCCTTAAAAGTCAAACTTTGAAATGTATTATTATTAAAACAACAATTTATCAGTATTATTAAAACAACAGCAACAACAATATATTTAATAATAATAATAATAATTTGTTTTTCCTTTTTTCAAGGGAACCTGTATTTAATGCATTGATTTTTTATTTTGTTTTACTTTGCAAAGGTTTGTTAATGGTTTTTGAGTGTGAGGGGATGTAAAGTAAATTTTACATATTTAAATGTTTAACTCTCAGGTGACAAATCAATTTGTGCCAAAATACTGTAGCATTTTATTGGACTTTGGAAAGCCTTTGGGAAGTGTTTTCTCCTTCTTTCAATAAGTCTATTCATTTTGCTATACTGACTATGCATGATTAGATGATTATTTCCATTTTATCATTTGCATTTACAAAATATTATATACTGTTTGACCAATTTTTGGGTCTTTACCCACCAGTCGAGAAAAATGCATATACTGTAAGTCTGAACAAGAAAAAAAAGAGATAATTTAAGAGAGAAACAAAGAAATATTGAAAAAGACAGACTTTGTTTTTCTTTTTCAATTTCTCAAGCTCTTCTTTCTCTGAAAAAGGATCAGACGCAGATGTTATTTGCGTGTGTGTGTGTGTGTGTGTGTGTGTGTGTGTGCGCGCGCGTGTGTGTACAGATACGTGGGATTACACAAGATTTGTATTTCAAAAAAGGGAACCAGTTCTAAGGAACATTAATTTGCCCGTTTGGGTTAATGTCAGATGCTCTTGCATCTGAATCAAGCAAATCATTGCATCATTGTTCCAATACATAGTGGAAAAGCTTCCAGATGCGTAGAAGCAAAGGGACGGATTAATGCTTTTTTGCTGTGATTTTGAAAGTAAATTTTGGTACAGTCAGTGAGGTACGTTACTAATGTGATGATGAGGTCTGGT